TATTGCAAAATTTGCAATTGCATTTGAATTATGTCACACTTTATGCATCCACATATTTAAAACGCAATTTTAATTGGTTTTCCATTATTTGTTATGGGGAAAATTCTATCACAACTCGAACTTTATAGGATTCGATCTGGAGTTCTGAACGGATTAAATTCGAGTTCTGAGGTACCATTTACGGTGGCCGATAAGGGCAAATCAAATTAACTTTTCAGAAAACAAAATTACAAAAGTCAAGACAAATTAACAAAGCCAAGCAAAAACGAACACACTTACAAGTGCCCAAACAAATTTACAAGCACGGAAACAAATGTACAAGTTCCAAAATAAATATACATGCGACGAAACAAATTTACGAGATGAGAAACACTTTTACCAGTCCTCAAAACAAGTTNCTGTATGCTGATTGGTCAGTCTCCTATAATCATGCATATGCGTCGGTAATGTTAATGCGAAACAGCTGGATGAGGCTTTCAATCTAGGAACTAACCAAACATTTTAGCAGAGCACAGAATCCTTTCAGCTTTAAAGTAGTTCGTAAAAGCTGAAGTAGCTCATAGTGTCCCTCCTGACATGGATTAGGTGGTCACCCTACCCTCCTGTCTCCTCCTTGGTGTGGTTCTAACAAGCCATGCCTGCTGTCCGCTAGCCTCCCTTCTTGTTCCTGCACTCCTGTTGATCACTCCCAGCTGCCTGTTCCCTCATTACTCCAATATTTAAGTGCTTCCCAGTCTAATAATCCTTAGTTCTGTACTTGAAGTTGTTGCCCCTGTTAGTTGTGCCCTAGCCTCCGTCAGAGTTAATATGTAAGAGTTCTCATGATGGGTGGGTGCTTTGCTTAGGCCCTGATGTGATCCCAGGCAAGGTTCTGAGGTCCTCAGGTCCTTTCACAGCTGTGTGGTGGAGAGTGTCCTGACCTCCTGTGTAACTGTGTGGTGTGGCAGCTGCACTGCGGCAGAGAAGTAGGCGTTACAGAGGGTGGTAAAATCTGTTCAGAGGACCATGGGGTGCAGCTTACCACCCATCGAGGACATTTACATCACCAGATGCAGGGAAAAAGCCGCCTGCATCCTTCATGACCCCACCCACCCTGCACATGAACTACTGTATTCATCCCCTTGCCATCGGGAAGGAGGCTGCGCTGCACCAGGGCAAAAACATCCAGACTGAGAATCAGCTTCTGTCCAGCTGCAGTCAGGCTCTTAAACTGCTCCACCACCCAAATACTGAACGTTTTGCACTGTAATACCATGCCTTGATACTGCAACATGTCACTTGTTACCCTTATTTCCATCTGTGAAACGTTGCTGCTGATGTTTCTTTGCTGTTGTTACTTTTGCAACTTGCACTGATCACTTTAAGTCGCTGTTGTTCTGCCATACAATTGTGCAATATTGTACATCTCTTTTTTATTTCAGAGGTTCTATCTTGGTTTATACCTACTTTAGATATTTTATTCTAGCATTTTATTATTATTTTATCTATTTACTGTTTGGTAGCCATGCTGAGCACACCGAGACCTGAGAAATTGTGTTTCATTCTATCATGTCAAGTGGTTTGAATGACAATAAAGCTGATTCTGATTTTTTATTTATTTTTCTTTAAATCAGTGTAATTTCATGCTGCACATTAAAATGTTTGTTGTCTCTATTGATTTTTCATGTTACACTCAATGAACATTTTTTACCCTTGTAATAAAAGTGCACAGTACATACCCCGACTATTCCAATCCTGTGTGTCATGTCCCCTCATTTACCTTGTGTGGAATCCCCATGTTATCAGCTGTTTCTAGATATGTTGATTGATGTGATGTATTTAATTGAGTTTCTGTGAGTGTTTCCCCAGTCCGGTCATTAATGTTGTAAAGTCCTAATGTTGCCACTGCCTTTTGCTCCTTTGTGTCTTGCATCCAATAAATCCCATGTTTACAAAGACCTGTGGACACTCACTTCTGCTTCCCTGACCTGTGCACCAGAGTCGTGACAGAATGTCCAGACTCGGTAAGAAGACGCCTCGCCTGACTGAGGAGGACTACCTCGGTCTAGTTGATGAGGTGATTTACTGGCTGCGGCAGCCTGAAGTCCAGGAGGACCCAGCAGGTAGAGCCCTCACTCTTTGGCCAAGGGAAATCTCCCCGTCCAAGGACCCATATCTCGCATAGGAGGTGTGGCAGAACCTGGACCAGCTGAGAGGCAGGGCAAATGAAACAATGATACGGTGGCTGCACCTAGACTGTGGATTGCCTCCTCTCCCATCGTTCGGGTTGCCCTAACTTTCTGCTACCCCTGCAGCATCCACTCGAAAAAAGAAGAAACGGAAGGATCACAAACAGGAGGGCATACCTGAAGCCCTTCCAGGACCCGTCGTGATCCCCATAGCGAATTGAGGGTATCTCCTCCAGATTCTCAACCTGCCAGTGTTCGCCACACCGGGATCCCCAGCCACTGCTTCACCCAGATCGGCGGCAAAGTCTCCAGCGCTCCCTCTGCACCCAAGGCTCATCTCCCTGCCGCGCCTGCACCCGAGACGTACCCCTTCCTGCACCCCTCACTCTGAATCCTGTGGCTCTAGTCCTGGTTCCTGATCCCATGGCTCCAGTCCGTGCTGCTGTTCCCGTGGCTCCAATCCCTTTCCCTGACGCCCTGGTTCCGGCTCCGTTCCCCGTCTCTGAGCCCCTTGTATTGTCAGAGGAGGAGGAGCTAGAGTGGGATCTGTTGAGGCTAGCCCTGAGACCTACACCCCAACCACATCCTTGTCCCGGAAGAACCCGGCCTGGACCCCGTCTTACACTTACACCGGGGTCGAGTCCCACCAGCCCTGCACCTGGGTATGCCTGCGGTTCCTCTTGCTCCTGCTCGTCGGTTGTTTGTACTGCCTGTTCGCTGTTTCATTAAGTACGACCGTTCAACATTGATACACATCGGAGCAACAAATGCACAAGTCGTGACTTTTAAAGTTATCGACCAGGAGTTGCTCGCCACAATAACTCGAAACCAAGGTGGCGGTTAAGACTCACCCGATCACGCCCGGAGGACGCGGAGGAGAAAACGTGGCCGGCGTGGCGGGATCCAAGCGAGGGCGAAACGCCGTGGACTACGACTTTCACTGCCGAGCATTTGCCTGGCCAATGTCCAGTCTCTGGACAACAAACTGGACGATCTCCGTGGTAGACTTCGTCTTCAGCAAGATCTGTGTGGCTGTTGTGTTGGCTCACCGCCTGCACACCGGATTCGGATGTCCAGCCAGATGGCTGCTCTATCTACTGCGCTGATCGGTCGGTCTCCGACCGATCAGAGGTGGCACGGTATGCTTCCTCATCAACAATGCATGGTGTACGGATGTGAAAGTTATCTCACAAAACTGCTCTCCGGACCTGGAGTGTCTGATCATCAAGTCCTCTGGAAATCTGGACGAGTATGCCACAGTGGTCACGGGCTTCATCAGGAAATGTGTGGAAGACTGCGTACCCACAAAGTCTGTACGCGTATTTCCCAACCAGAAGCCCTGGATGTGTGCTGAAGTTCGCCAGCAACATCTCCTGTTGTTTATCCGTCTTGTTGTCTATGTTCACTGTCTGCAGGAGCACATGCAAGCAAGCATTTCATTGTACATGGTAAAAGAATTAAATTGAATTAACAGTAATTAATATATAATAAAATACATTTTAAAATAAAGAGTTCTTTTAATTATTTTAATATTAATAATAAACCATTAATACATTTAATTATAATAATATTGTCATGCCAAGCCGGGATGGAATGGAGACAAAGGTGCAGACGTCAAGGTATCGGGGAATACGGGGTTTCATTACAGGTAAGGCAGGCAAAACGCAGATGGACAATACAATGACCGGACTGGGGAAACAAACTGAAACGCAGGCGAAATACAGAGGGCTAATGAAAACAACGAGAAACAGCTGATCACACGGGAATTCCACACGGGGTTAACGAGGGGGCGTGGCACAAGGAAGAAGCGAACGATTGGGGCAGGACACATTGTTTTTTTTAACTTTACACATTGTTTGGATACATTTATTTTACAAGTTACTGTTTTGATAAATGTGCTTAGATGTGTTTAGTACAGTATATGCTGTTCTTGTTTTATCTGGTTCATTTTGTGTTTAAATGCTAAAAAAAACATATTTAGGTGTAATTTTTTGGGGGGCCGGGAACCAGTTAATTGGTTTTCCCGATCAGGACTCGAACTTTTTAGGATTCGATCCGAAGTTCTGAACGGATTAAGTTCGAGTTCTGAGGTACCACTGTATTAGATACAGTATCTGACTGATACACCTGCTATCTCAGCACTCCTGAGTGTTGGCTTTGAATTTGACCATGACTGTGTCTGTGTGCAGTTTGCAGGCTTCCTCTGATCACATGGCATTTCTCTAGGTTCCAGTGCCCTGCAATGGACTTGACGTTCTGTTGGAAGTTTACCTCACTTTACTCTAGAAAATTAAATAAATAGCTATGCTAAAGCAGAGTTGAATCTTTGAGGTAACGGAGATCTAATTATTAGGTCTTATTAGAACATTTTATAAATACACAGCAACTCTAATTCATGAAGTCTCTTCTAGTCATGCATATTTTTTTTTTGTTGATGAATAATAATTAATAATAATTTAATAATTAATAATAATAATAAGTACTTTATTGATCCCCGTGGGGAAATTATCTTTACGCCTCCCTCAACTTGCTCTTTTTGTAGAGCAAGCTGTCCGCGAAGGGCAGCCACCTGTAGCGGCGCCCAGGGAGCTGGGAATTCAGGGTCTTGCTCAAGGACCCGCAGACGTGCTGAGGCTGGGCTTGAACCAGTGACCTTGTGATTACAGGCACACAGCTTAGCCCACTGAGCCACACGCTGAAGGATTCTATGCATCGATAGTTTATTTTATTCTCTACAGGCTAATAAAAATGGTCTGACTTTCTGAAGTGCTAAACATTCAGCCTTGTGGTTTTGTCATTTCCTGTTTAAAGTTTCCACTCCCCCTTCGCTCTGCCTGCTGTGTGTGAGAATCAAAACCACAGAGACAGTGAAGGTACAGAGAATGAGAAAGTGATTGTTACTCTCCACAGATCTGGGCTCAGTTACACACACACGTATGGATCCTCTGATGCTCCTGTTTCTTCTCATTGCTGGGCTCACAGGTGAGTGTCACTCATTACAGTGGAACTGAGTAGAGATCTCTCTCCTGCTCCTCCACACACTGTCAGATACAGAATGGAGATCAGGATGGAGATCAGGAGAAATTGCAAAACTTCAGTTGTGAAAAGATTCAGCTGCTTTGCATAGTATGAAATTGTGAATACTTTTTGGATTCTTACAGGTGTTTATATCAAAACATTTGTAATTGCTATGCTAATATTTTAGAAATGATCAGTGTACCATGAATCAGATTATTGATATAGATTTAGTATCTAAATATTCAATGTAATACTGTCCTGTCTTTCCTTAGTAATCAAGCAATACAAAGACAGCAGATGAAATGTCATTGTCATTTGCATCCTTTGATCTTACTGGGGTCATTTCAGCAGCACAGGTGGTTATGTGAGCAGACAGCCGGGATGCCATCAGTCATTTCTGTGTGTACAGACAGAGGGGTCTAAACACCCAGCTTCATGTGCTACTGGGGCAGGTCTCTGTTTATCTGGGCTCAAGATCAGCCTCAGAGTTATTTCATACTTCACTTTTCTGCGTGTGCTTTCAGGCTGTGGATGGTCATGTATGTGGCAATTTATGTTCATACTGCATTTGTCAGTGGATGCAGATGGTGGTGGTCAATGCATGCATATACTGTAGCAGCAATATTTCATCAGACCAGGGGAGGGCAGATGTATTACAAAAAAGACTAATACAAGCAGTTTAGTGAAATGGGTAAACGTATTACAAACAGTTTTAAAGTTGTTAGTTAAAGCTTGGGCAGAATTGTGTTGCTTTTGCAAACACCATATATGTCAGGACAGTATAAATTATTTGGACAGATATTTAAAAAGTAAATATGTGGATTCCTCCTCACCACTGACAACAATTCTCCTTCCTCTGCTCTTTCTTGGTTGGTCTTCCTCTGCTCTGTGAAAGTCAGTGCTGCCACCTACTGGAAACACCTAGTTAATTACCTTGTACAAGTATATTTGATTCAGACTGATGTGCATGATCTCTCCCAGACATAAAAATCTGGGCTACACAGGCATCATCCACAGCCATCTGGCACAAACCCCTGATGACAAAATTAATGTTATCTCACTCTATGTGTGACCAAAGATGCATGGAGAAAAGTGAAGTGTAAATTGGCCTTCAAGGATTGAAATTAGACCTGGTTATCTTTCACTCTGCAGCAGGTTTGGAGAGCTAGTTACCCTCTAGCTGGTAGAGACTGGGGGCAGCGTGGGGGCCTCACACCTCCAGGCTTGAGGTTTCAGTATCTGGCCCAGCTCTCTGTGGGCAGTTTGCAGGTTCACCCTCTGTCTACATTTGTTTTCCCTGAGTTCAGGTGAATTGGTGCCTCTAAAAGTGCCCATAGTGACTGTGTGAGCGTTTGCCCTGTGACAGACTGGCATCCTGTCCTGGCTGTTCCCCTGCCTTGTGCCCTGTGACAGACTGGCATCCTGTCCTGGTCGTTCCCCTGCCTTGTGCCCTGTGACAGACTGGCATCCTGTCCTGGTCGTTCCCCTGCCTTGTGCCCTGTGACAGACTGGCATCCTGTCCTGGTTGTTCCCCTGCCTTGTGCCCTGTGCTGCCTCAGATCAGCTCCATGCTGCCTGTACTGTTCTGACCCTGTACTGGATAAGCATATGGCGGATGTGGCAAACTCTGAACTGAAACACAATTCAGTCCAGTCCCTCCCCCATCACAGGTCAGTAAGTCATGAATCTTAGCCATTTGCCCCTAATGGGAACGACAGCTGAGTGACCCTGCCCTCGAGCAGCAATTCTCAACCCATGGGTTGTGACCCAAATTTGGGTCACAACAAGTTCTGAAAGGATCGTGAGGCAGAGTTGGAAATGTAAGCATTTTAAAACCAGCAAGCTCCTGTGCTGATCTACGATCAGATTTTCCAGGCCCAATCCTAAAATAGATAGAAATAGGTTTTTGCTCTGCAAATACTTAGCACAAACACTCAAGGGAACACTCAAGCAATCCAAGAGGCCAAAACACAGATGCTTAATTTAAAATTCACTGCCACATCTAATCAGATTTGTGTGATAGGCATTGATTGGTGTAAATTGTAGAGTGCACTGCATGCTTGATCATAGCGTTAATTCAAACCTATACTTGATATAGGGTCACGAGCTGGCATGGTAAAAACTGGGTCGTAGTGCAAATAAGGTTAAGAATCGCTCCCATAGAACATACCTGCTTTGTTTTCCTGTGTCTTTCCCTTGTTCTTATGGCAAAATGACAGTCTTGCTGTTTTACCTCCTCACTGTCCTCTTAAAC